GGGCTCGGTGGCTCAGCCTGTAATCCCACGCCTTTGGGAGGCTGAGGTGAGTGGATTGACTGAGCCTGCAGGTTCGAGACCTGCCTGGGCCCGCGGGTTCGAGACCTGGGCAGGCGAGATCTCATCTCTACAGTAAATCAAAAATTAGCCGGGCATGGTAGCGTACGCCTGTAGTTCCAGCTGCTTGGAAGGCTGAGGCGGAAGGATTGCTGGAGCCAGGCAGGTCGAGGCTCCGGTGACCGGGAGCGGCCACTGCACTCCAGTCTGGGCGACAGAGTGAGACTCCAACTCAAAAACAACAACAACAACAACAAAAAACTGTGGTGCTGATGTACACAAAAGACAACAGATCATGGAACCAAATAGAAACTCCAAAATGAACCCTAATAATTATAATAATTGAACCCTAATAAATTTAATTAAGTAATCTAAGAGAAGGATGCTATGGCCACAAAATGGGGGAAAATAGCTGCTTCAAAAAATGATGGTGGAAAACTTGGTATCTACTATGCAGAAAAAGTATTTACAACATACACATAAAGTAACTGCAATTATTACATATTTCAATGTAAAAACTGCCAAGCATGGTGGCTCAAGCCTGCAACTCCAGCACATTGGAAGGCCAAGAAGAAAATATTGCCTCAGACCAAGGATTTGAAACCACCCTAAAGAACTTGGCACGATATGAACTCTACAATAAAAAAATTAAAACAGACATGGTGGTGTTCGTCTATAATTCCAGCTAAGAAAACTGAGAGAAGGCTCCAGTGTGTATTGAAGAAGTGTTTCTCAGAACCCCCTGGTATCACAAGAAAAACAGAAACTAATAGAAATAAACTTATTAGGCAGAACCATCACACGTACGGTAATAAAGGCTTTCAAGTTCTAAAAAGATGACATTCCAGTTGGAAAATTGGACATAGCTCCTGACCTGGGACACGTTTACCTGAGAACCAGTCATTTATTTCTTTCTCCTCCTTCTCTGTGATTTCTTCTGAGATGAGATTATCTGGACACGTCACACCTACATACAGAAAGTATGCCTTTATTATATAATGAAATAGAATTAAGTAGGTTTTGGATAAAGTCAGCCAGGCAGGAGTGCAGTGGAACCATCATGCCTCACCACAGTTTTGACCTCCTGAGCTCAGGCAAAGTTTCCATCTTAGCCTCCCAAGTAGCTGGAATGGCAGACATGCACTATCATTCCCTGCTAATATTTTGATTTAATGTAGTGACAAGATCTTGCTATGTTGTCCAAGTTGCCCTCAAACTTCTGGGTTCAATCGATCCTCTTGTCTCCACTTCCCTAAGGGCTAGGATTTCTGGTGTGAGCCACCACACATACCCAGAATATGCCTTTAAAGATGTAAGCACAATCCTTCACCTGCTACCACCACACCCACAGACAAAAGGACCCAGAGAGAAGTGGAAATAGAGTCCACTCTTCTGTATCTTTTGTCACAAGAGACAGATTGTGAAGCAATGAGCTCCCACATGGAAACCAAAGCGTGAGTTTCTTCTTTCCTGTCCTCAGTTGCACTCCCTTGCCACAAACACTATCAGTTTTTGCTACATCTGGAGAATATGACTCCATTGATCTGCCTGACAAAACTCAAGCAGAACAGGACAGGCGGTCTCTTTTGAACTCAACTACCTAAGATTGAAAGCAAGACTCCAAGAAACTTAGAATAAACTTAGTTCACATTTTGTCTCAGCATAGCCATTTTTCCTTAGACTGACATGCTTTGAATCAAGCACATGTTAGACATAGTTAATATCCAACAGGCAGGTTTTAGAAGGCATTCAGACATCTTAAGATTACATTTTTCTGCAGACCAAGAGGCAGCCTACCTCATTCCCCTCAAGAAATCTCCATCAGATCGCAAAACATGGGCAGCACAACAATCCAACCTTTCAATTCAAGGTTTACATACTAATCTCTAGGAAACTTTCAGGTTCCTTGTCAAGCGGGAATCAAAGATCACCTCTTGGCTGGCTGAAGCCATAGAAATTGTAATAAGACCATTTTTTGGTCAAGAAGTTTGTAGATTGCAAACATCTCACAAGTCTTTTAGAAAACCCCTTCCACTTGACTCCTCCCATCTAGCCCATCACCTGAAGGCATTAGATGCTAATGTCTGGCAACCATTGAAATATAAAACTCATGTGGCTACTGAATGAGCTAAATCAGTTAATAAAATCAAGTTGCTAGCAAAATAATATTAACCAGCTTACTCCATTTTGTTTGAAGCTTTCATCTTAGTTACCTGCCTGACCTAAGAATCAATGCCTACGTGTGATTACAGTAATGTTCCCATGACCACAGACACCCAACTTTGTCTCCTTTAGGGAGGTTATGCTGACCATTGCCTGCTAACCATTACAGAACTCCTTCACCATTAGATTCATGTAATTGTATGCTTTGTTAACTGAAATCAAATGTTACACTTTGACATTTTTATAGTTTGTTCTTATATTTGGTTAATGACATAATCAAGGTAACTCCATTGTATAATGATTCTTCTTCCCTGTCTCTATGTAACTACCTAGACTGTAGTGCAGTGGCCACTCCCGGCCACTGCAGCCTCAATCTGCTGGGCTCCAGCGATACTTCCACCTCAGCCTTCCAAGTAGCTGGAACTACAGGCATGCGCTACCATGCCCAGCTGATTTTTGATTTATTGTAGAGATGAGGTCTCTCCAAGTTGCCCAGGCGGGTCTCGAACCCGCAGGCTCAGGCAATCCACTCACCTCAGCCTCCCAAAGGCGCAGGATTACAGGCTGAGTCACCAAGTCTGGCTAAACTATATCATAATGGCAGAACTCCAAGGATTTTCTGGGCATTGGCTGAACCTAGGACATGAAATTAATCAAAGCTCCCTAACGACTGAAGTTCCCATTTTAGTTGCCAAGTTGTAGTTAATAGTTGCTATGGTCACTAAGTTGCTATGTAGCCAATACAGTAAATTTTACCTATAAAAGCTTGCCACAAACTACACCAATTTGCCAAGAGTTTTTCTGGCATTGGCCTACTCTTGACTCATGAATTTAATAAATTCATAATTAATCAAATACAGCCTGCTGGCATACCTTCTTCTTGCTTACTTGGTCATAACACTACAACCTACATCAAAGACCCATGGCCCTGGACAGGCCTGTGGTCTTAAACCCCCTTTCTCCAAAGGCCTTTAAAACACCAATGCTTGGCTTTTCCATGCCTCACTTGCCTCTGTCTGCCCCCTTTCCAATCTGTGAAAGGTGGTTAATAAACTTTACTTCTTTCTACTTCCCCTTTTGTTGCAATATGGCATCATTACCATGGCAACAGTCCACCTCATCTCAGTTTATGCTTTCACAGAGAACAGGAATCATTTCTGCCTTTTCCCCTAAAGACCAGCAATGTGTGTGAAAATTCAAAGAAACCACTTAGTTAATCAACTTAAATGTATTTCCTATAAATTACTATCTTGGAGAAAGACAAAACTTAAACTAAACCAACAGCAAATACCACAGTGAAATGTCAAAATGAGGTAGGGTAGATAGCACAGGTAAGACATTGATAGATAAATTTCCCATAGGCTGGTTTTAGGAAGCAGTCAGACAATTTAAAATTACATTTTACTGCAGACCAAGTTCATTGAAGAAGTAGAGTTTTTGGAGAATTTCAGAACATGGAATGACAGATGTCCCTTTATGACAGCAGGAGAAAGAATCCCAGGCTTCTCAAAAACCATTTCCATTGGAGCAGACCACCTTCCCAATCCACATCTCAAGCTCTGATTCCCCAACCTGTGTTATCTGCTTCATTCACTCCCACTTACCTGGAAGTTTGGCTAATGTGCCATGTTTCTTCACATCCCAGGGCTCTTTCCTTTGCTCCAGACACATGATGAGGTCTGGCTTAGAGTCAGCAAGTCCTGTTTGATTGGAAAATAGTGACATGACTCTTAATGGGGTTCTCTTCGGTTACAAATCTAGTATTGTGATCAGTAGAGAACACATTATACAAGATTCTAGAAAATTAATCCCAACATAGTTTTGCAATAAAACCTTTAAGACATTTAAATAGAACATTCAACTTATGGGCTTCTTTTTATTTTATGTGGGATTCTCACTCTGTCACACAGGCTGGAGTGCAGTGGATAGCTCATGGTCACCCCAGTGCTCATCTGTTGGGCTCAGGTATTTCTTCACCCTCAGCCTACCAAGTAACCCAAATTACAGGTGTGCGTTACCACTCCCAGAAAATTTTTTTATTTCATGTAGAAATGGGGTCTTGCCAAGTTGCCCAGGCTGTTCTTGAACCCAGAGGCTCTGGCAGTCCCCTCAACTCTGCCACCTAAACTGCTGGCATTACATGGCTGAGACACCATCCCTAGCTTTAAATTTGTAAGTTCTTTTTTTTTTTCTTTTTTTTGAGTAGGAGTCTCACTCTTTCACCCAGACTGGAGTGCAGTGGCACACTCCCGGCCACCGCAGCCTCGACCTACTGGGCTCTGGCAATCCTTCCGCCTCAGCCTTCCAAGTAGCTGAAACTACAGGCGTGCACTCTAATGCCCGGCTAATTTTTTATTTTATTGTAGAGATGAGGTCTTGCCACATTGCCCAGGTGGGTCTTGAACCCACAGGCTCAGGGAATCCACTCACCTCAGCCTCCTAAACTGCTGGGATTACAGGATGAGCCACCCAGCCTGGCTTATGTACATTTTTAATAGTTATGTTTACATCACACAGAATATGCTACATATACTGCTCAGACGGAAAACTCCTTGTGAGTCAGAAGGTCCCTGGCAAGCTTTAATTTATACAATAAATTGAATATCTTCTTAAAATGCAAATTCTGATTCAGAATACATGGATTTAGCCTGAGGTTCTGTACTTTTTTTTTCCAGTTGGTGTCTCATTCTTATCCATGCTAGGGTGCCATGGCATAATCGTGGCTTATTGTAGCCTCAATCTCCTGGGCTGAAAGAATGCATCCTCCATAGCATCCCAAGTAGTTGGGATAAATTGGTATCAGATGTCAAGGCACACAGGTGGAACACAATATCCATGCTGAGATCTTTTGGCAAAAAATTATCGTAATTTATTATTACTTTTTCAGTTGGAGTCTCACTCTTGTCACCCTGGTTGGAGTGCAGAGGTAAGGTCATGGCCACTGCAGCCTCAACCTGTTGGACTTAGGCAATCCTTCCGCTTCAGCCTTCCAAGTGTTTAGAACTGCACGTACATGCAACCATGCCTGGCTAGTTTTTGTAATTTACTGTAGAGATGAGGTCTCACCAAATGCCCAACACAAGCTCAGGCAATCTGTAGCCTCAACCTTTCAAAGTGCTGAGATTATATAGGGTCACCACACCCATCCAATATAGTAATTTACAATCTCAATTAAATAAGAAGGAAACATGTGTTAGGCAGAAATCAGACTATAGGTATCTCCCACAGCATGTAATCTCTGAAAGTGTATTTATATTTTTAGTTTTTGGCATCCTAGAGAGCAAGTCTCCTCTATTCTTTACTCAGACATTCCTGAGTTATTTTGGACAGTAACTGGCATCCTGTTAAATGTACATTTTATTTTTATTATTTATTTATTTATTTATTTGAGTTGGAGTCTCACTCTGTTGCCCAGAATGGAGTGCAGTGGCCTCTCCCGGCCACCGCAGCCTTGACCTACTAGACTCCGGTGATCCTTCCACCTCAGCCTTCTAAGTAGCTGGAATTACAGGCATGTGCTACCACGCCCAGCTAATTTTTGATTTATTGTAGAGATGAGGTCTCGCCAATTTGCCCAGGTGGGTCTCAAACCCACAGGCTCAGGCAATCCACTCACCTCAGCCTCCCAAATGCACAGGATTACAGGCTGAGCCACCGAGCCTGACTTAAATGTACATTTTATTAACCATGTTCTGCATGGAGATGATGCAGCATCCAGACAGAAAATTAACAGTACGAGTTCTGGTTAGGAGCAGAGGCTCATACCTATAATCCCAGCACTTTGGGAGGCCGTGGCAAGAGAATTTCCTGAACCCTTGGGTTTGAGACAAACCTGGGCAACTTGACAAGACCTCATCTCTACAATAAATTAAAAAATTAACTGGGCTGTGGTGGCCAAGAGTGTGCCAGCACACTTATTCTGCACAACAAAGGGAGACTCCAACTAAAGGAAAAAAATGTTTCTATCCTTCATTAGGATCTGAGGATCTACTCATTTGCCAATGGGATTCTTGGTAACCATGCCTTCCCATGATCCCCAGTAATAAGGGAACATTTTTTTTTTTTTGAGTTGGAGTCTCACTCCATCTCCCAGACTGGAGTGCAGTAGTATGCTCCCAGACACCGCAGCCTCAAACTGCTGGGCTCCGGTGATCATTCTTCCTCAGCCTTCCAAGTAGCTGGACTACAGGCATGTGCCACCACACCCGACTATCTTTGATTTATTGTAGAGATGAGGTCTCGCCATGTTCCCCGGGCAGGTTTCGAATCCGTGGTCTCAGGCAATCCTCTTGCCTCAGTCGCCCAAAGTGCTGGAATTACAGGCTGAGCCACTGAACCTGGCCACAAGGGAAGATTTTTAATACTGCAGTCATACATTCATGGTGAGAATATTTTATGACAACTAAGCAGTGTGGTTGAAGAGAACAGAAGAGGCTATGTAGGAGCAGTGTCCGACAAACCCATTGAATATCACAGGAAGAACAAAAATAGTTGAAACAAACTCATTAGGCAGGACCATCACAAGGACAGCCGCATGGTTTGCAAGTTTTGTTTTGGTTTTTTTTTTTGAGTTGGAGTCTCACTCTGTCGCCCAGACTGGAGTGCAGTGGCCACTCCTGGCCACCGCAGCCTCGACCTACTGGGCTCCAGTGATCCTTTCCACCTCAGCCTTCCGAGTAGCCAGAATTACAGGCACGTGCTACCACGCCCGGCTGATTTTTTGATTTATTGTAGAGATGAGGTCTCACTGCCCAGGTGGTTCTCGAACCCACGGGCTCAGGCAATCCACTCAACTCAGCCTCCCAAAGGCATGGGATTACAGGCTGAGCCACCGAGCCCTGCTTTAAAATAAATTTTTTGAGTTACAAATTTAATACTATAAAACTTAGACCTAACCAATCCAAAATGGGATAGTCAACGCTCAATAGTTCAACATAACTCCATTTTAGACTGGGGTGGGGAGGGGATTTCTGGCCTCTTTGTGTGTTTCCATGTAGCTAAAATAATTTTGAAATGTTGACAAGGTTGGCACCAGTATGCAGCTGTCCAGACCAACTCTGGGAAAGTGGGAGTATATTCACTAACTCTGTTTTGTTTAATAAAGGAACAAGGAGACTGTGAACCAAGAACAAAGATAATTCACCACTTTCCAGGATTCATCTCATCTCCCAGATGTCTGCAAGCCTAAGCTACCTCTTAATCTTAGCCGCTCTCTGTCCTACAGCCTGGATAAAAATTTTGAAAAAGCACACACAGCCGGGCTCCGTGGCTCAGCCTGTAATCCTGCTCCTTTGGAGGCTCAGGTGAGTGAATTGCCTGAGCCCGCGGTTTCAAGACCCGCCTGGGCAACTTGGTGAGACCTCATCTCTACAACAAATCAAAGAATTAGCCAGATGTGTTAGCATACACCTGTAGTTCCAGTTACTTGGAAGGCTGAGGCGGAAGGATCGCCCGAGCCCAGCAGGTCGAGGCTGCAGTGGCCACTGCACTACAGTCTGGACAACAGAGTGAGACTCCAACCTTAAAAAAAAATATATATATATATAGAGAACAAGTACACACGATCCAGGAGTGTCTTCAGGATGCCATCCCCTCATTTCCTTAGTTTTAATGTCCCTACTAAATAAAGTCACAACCCCTGCTCCAACTCCTTATGTCAACAGAACCGGGTTTGGACCTGGTAACACAAATGGCCAAGGACACTAATGACAGACCCTGGAGATTTCCACCTAGATAATTCAGATAAGGCCACTGCAGGACTGTCACCCAACAGCACTTGCCCATCCTGGCTTCCCCTTGTCCCTTCTCAAAGACTTTCCTCCCAGTCCCTCCGGGATCTCCACTCCACGAGTCCTAGCTGGGGTTTCTGGACTCAAGAACTGTTGTTGTCCCAAGTGGCCTCCTTAATGCTGCGATGGAGCCACTGTTTAACTCTGGGGAGGAGCAAGGGCGTGGGCCAGGATCACAGTCTCCCCTCCCCCCCACCAGCACCCCACACATGTCGGATCCTCTCCATGCCCCTCACGGGTTCAGCACACTTGGAGGTGGTGGCTACAAGGAGAGTGCTCAGCAGGTGATGTCGCTGCAGGGTCAAGCCCACAGGGTCTCGCCCCAGGCCCCCCTACACCGAGGGACCAGTGCCGAGCCTCAGGAGAGGCCAGTCCCTAAAGAGCCGGGTCATCCGGGTCTATCCCCACTCCCCCTCTCGGGAAACCTCCCTGCACACTCACCACCTCCTGCCTTCCGAGGGTCTCAGCGTCTGCCCTACGAATCTCCCAGGACCTGCGTGTCACAGGGCAACACAGGCAAAAATGAAGATACGCCAGGCTGATGGAGAAAACTAAGACCCAGTAAGAGCTCGGAAGCGGCCCCCTCACTTCCAGCTCCTGTTTGCCCATTTCAAATCCCAGCATCTGTTGATTGGAAAAAAATCCAGGTCATCTAGTCTTGAGTGACAGGACATGCGATCAGATGCAAGCCATATGAGGCCAGAAAATGTTGAGATTTCTCCCAGTTCCGGAACGTGGTAGAGAGATGTGAGGTTGTGAGCCCCTTTCAGGGCTTGCTGGGAACACTGGCGTCTGCATGGCTCCCAGCTGGTGGATTGCGGAGCTGCAGGACTACAATCCTAGCGTGTCCCGGGAGAGGCGGTGTCGACCTACAGTCCAGCGACCCGCCAACCAGGAGAGACAAAAACTCT